ACACAAGTGAACTCTTTTTCCAAAACCATAGAAATGTAATTTTTTGAATAACAGGAGTATGACTGCGCATACGTTTGCATAAACTCGTACCTGACCAAAGTTCAGATTAAAGCGATCATTCGAAGCATTGCGTGGTCTAAATGACACAATCAACTGCTGGTCACGTTCGCGGCCATACGCAATCACCAGCTTATGGAACGTATAAGCTTGTACCTAAAAGCACATCTTCAAAAATGTTCCATTCAAAAATTGTAGGTCTTTCAAGCCAAGTCTTGCTTTAAGCATGTGTTACACTCAAAACGAATAAAAATCGAGGAACTTACGTTGCAGAACTTATTATAGTGCGCATCATACGCTTTAGCGAATCTGTTGACAGTATCGTAAATGTGAGAATATCTTGTGAGGCGCTCGATAATAGAAGTAGCTATGGTATCCACTGGGCCACCCACTGATATTCCAGTCTGCTCGTGAACCCAAACGCCCGTCTAAATTACCTTGGTTGTAAAAACTGCCAAGACCGTCCAATAATTATTGTTACTGCGAAAAGTTGTTAAGCTTGAAAGGTGTACCTTGCGTCCTTTTTTGTATGGACTGAGATCACGCACAAGAGGGATGTTCACCATACAACACTCAAGAGGCCATATAACTCGTGCTCTGCTGTCCAACCGTAGACAGCATCGAGCCATGTTGCGTAGAAATGCTGCGCAGCGTACGTCAACGACAGCGGATACACTGAAAATCAAACCATGATGATTTGAAACCAGAAGCTGGAAAACAAGTATTGAAGCAACAGTAACAATAAAACCGACGTACTCAGTTATATGCAGAATGAGGCCTCCGACGTGAGGTTCTTCCTCAACACTACGATAACCGATTCGTTTCTTGTCCAGTTCTTCACAAACGCGCATGAACGAAATTCGGTCATCGACCGCAGCAACGGCCGTAGTTAACTGCCTCACCATGGACGGCTCTACGCGGCTATGCTAAAAATGCAGTTGCATAAATTCTTGGGAGGTCTCTACAGAAAGTGCCCAATCAGTTGGTATTCAAAGCTTGAGAGGATTTGGCAGCCTTATTCAGAAAGCCTTCCATCAAAACCATTCGGGAGATTTTCAGACAGTAAGGAAGTGCATTTCATAAATAATGCAATCACGGGCGGAGTGATATCGTGGAAAATGCCGCTGTTTGCCAAGTTCACCGTCCAAAGTGAAACCGGATTGAGTTCCGCCTGGGTCAACCAAAAGCTCAATTCAGCGGAGTGGGAAGACTGATATGTCTTAAATAAGACGAAAAACACTGACTCTAATTGTGAGCTGACTCTACAGGCCAGACCGCTTTAAACTGCCACTACTCGCGACTCTGAATGCAGGTAGACATTGTAGCGCATTCCGAAAGGGATTGATGAGGACCAAGTCTTTTGTGTTTTCCGTTTTTTTTTAATGAGCATCATCAAATCGGTCAAATAGAAAACGTAGGAAAGAAAAACAATTGGAAATGGCTATGACCAACGAATTCAGCGTTCATGATGACACAATTTGACAAAAACCGCAACTGCCAGGACCTGACCTTTTCTTTCAGAGTCCATACGTCATCATACTCAGACTGTCCAAATGTTTTTGCTTCAATGTCCACCACTCCATCGATGGGAGCGGAAATGAGCTGCTTCTCCTTCAGAATAAGAAGTTGGAACATGATCATTTGTGCACACCACAAGGGTAGACACAAAAGAGAATCCACTCACCTTATTCAACTCCATCATTTGAACTTTGTCATCAAGGGTGCATAACAAATAGAGATTCATTTTGACAGTGAGATTTTCATTGGAAACAAATGTGATCACCTAAATTACGTTGGAAATTGGAGAGTGACAGTTGGAACACGAAATATCACGAAAGACAAGGAAAATAAGCAAAAATACTCACCAAAAAGAAATGCTCCTCTTTGATGAACTGCAGACAGATCCGATCAGTCGGGAGAGAGCTGACCTGTAATTGTAGACTTGAAAATCATATTCACTGAACTGTTACAGAGCTATGTTCTAAACATGTCACAAAATTTTTATCTCGCTTCCTCATACTCTCACTGAATTTAAAGCGAAATACCTACTTAGGAGACGTGAAATTTTCACATGAGACGGCTACACCAAGAAAAACTGAAAAAAAAACAAAAGAGCAATAACGAAAATCAGCTTACTGCAACCTTCTTGAAGAATGGAGCCATTTGATTCTCATTGATAATGCGCACTTGAAGAGTTGACACAGATCTTCGATACCGTTCAATCATTAGTAAAACTCTGTAAGGAACCAAATAAGGAGCTTTTATGAGCTTTCTGAATTAATTAATCGCAGGGCTGGAGGCTTTACTTACTTCAAACGATCGATCCGCTTTCGTAGAGTATCAATAGATTGTCCATCGTACAATGCCATTTCCAATTCTTTCAATTCACTAGCTGACCCCGGAAGAAACTCTGAAACTTGGCGCTGAATTTCCGTTCAGCTAACACGACATCGTCAAAATTCAAGACGCGGTCGCGAGCATAAGTAGATCAGTGATGAATAAAATGTTTGGGAGGGACCACCATGGGCACCTAAGCCCCGTTCATAGATCGCGGTTAATGCAATTTGGCGACTATGCTGACAAGAAGACATACGTATCGATTTAAATTTGCCGATTACGCGATAAAGCGATTGACGATTTGGCGGTTATGTTCAAAGGACTAGGGTGCACATTGATTGAACTGACGCCGCCCAATAACCATTCGTCGATACGATATGTCGACGATCCTCTAGTCGATACGCATACATTCCTTTCACCATAAGCCGCTAAATCGTCAAATCGTCAAATCGCATTCAACCGCGATCTATAAACGGGGCCTAAGCGGTGAGCCGAGATCAAAATAGGAAGCGTGAAACGATCTTTATTCGATACTTCAGAATGGGATGTGTAAGAGGGATAACCCTCTACTCAATTTTCTACGTTTCTATAACAACCTAAGGCCCAAACCACAATAAGCAATAGCACCTCTGGAAACTATAGAACCTCTTTTGTTCTAAGAAATACACAGCCCCTTTCTGAATAGAATGCTTGGCGCGCGATGAAGGAAAGGCAAGTAAAACTTACCTATAGCATCCAAATTACAAAGAACACGTCCGCTAAACATATTAACCGATATGACTACACACTCCTCTCGTGTATCTACACTGTCTCGCAAAAGTGGAAGCCATAGACAAGGCGTTGCTGATCCTGAAGGAAAAAAAACGAATAATGTGAAAAATACGAAAAACCGATGCAACCACTTACCTGCGTACAAAACAATCGAAAGAGGCTTTGCTGCTTTGAGGCGCTTGCGAATACGAAGCAACCGCTCTCTACATCGAACCACTAACGTCTCGGACAAAAGGCGATCAATCGACAAGCGTCTAGAAGAAAGGAAGCTAATAACTCAGCTTGGCCATAGCATCCTCCGAGTTTGGGCAAAAAATTGCCAAAAACACAACCATGCTGCATCTTGCCGTAGAACTCACCCTGTACGATCATCCAACTGCCCAAGATCCGGAGCGATTGGATAGTGACGTACTTTCAGCGACGTGTCATCGCCTGCATCTCCAAATATGGTCACACGGTACTGAGGAACGAGCCTGAACACAGTACTTTCAGTAAAGCACTGAAACAAACGGGGAAAAGGGAAAAGAACAATAAATGGCAGGTGAATAATATCCCAATAAAGTTTTAAAAAATACAAACAAGGATAAAAATGAAGTGGATATATGCATGTAATACGATGTGAAATCGGTAGTATAAAAATAAGAACAACGCAAAAAGCTGACGCAAAAAAAGACCTCACCGAACATTTCCTATCATTCTCTTAGCGATTCGCTGAACCCAATAACCGATCGACAGAATGCGTTCCTTCGGATCGTACTTCTCTATGACAATCTTATTCCTTAAAATACGAAATTATGTCCAAAAAAATAGAGAAGCACTCAAAAATTCAGGTAAAATGAAAACCTCAGACGTCCAGCAGCCAGCTGAGATGCTTGACAAAACAATACATCCAGTTGTAACGATTGGGCGAAAGTATGCAAAAAGGTGTACGCTTCATTGATCGGCTTAAAATAAACTCATTTAAGAATAATTTTAAAACCAGTGAAACAGGGAGTCCTACGTTCTTCGCGACATCCATCCTGGACTGTAACACATTGTGCAACATATGCAGTTGGAGCGGATGCACAAGTTGCGCTCCGTAACCGATTTCGTAGTCTTCCACAAGCATTTTGATGTTCAGCAGTGTCCACGGAGTTTGCTCTCGTTCACCCAGGACCGTTAGATTCACTTCAAACTCTCCAGGAACAGTGAGGATCAGCTGCAATAAACAATGCAGCGCTCATATAGAATAGCTACACCTGAACTAGGCTTAGACTTGGGGGTGGTTCGCTACAAAAAGTGGCTTTTCCGCTTTTCGTGGCGCAAAACATTCTTTCGCTATAGGGACCTCAGGTCCACTTCTAATCAGGGTGGACCTGGGTTCCGCAACGAGAAAAGTACCGCGCTGCGAAAGGCAGAAAAGTCGCTTTCTGTCTTAGCGAGCCACATCCCTTAACACCACATGTAAATGTGCGGTATTCCGAAGTTAGAATCAATGAAGAGGAATTTCTCGACAAACTATGTAGGTGATGAAACACCAGTAAAGGCATAATACAAAAAAAACATGTAACCAAGCAAACATACCATGCCATTCTTGATAACAATACCCTTTGCTCGAGGTGATAACGTGGAGGCCGCCTTTGATATGCGATATTGTAGAACCTAAAAAACCACCTAGGATTAAATTGCAGGAAAATTCAGATCGAATCTAACTCAAAACGGTCGTTACTGCAGAAGCTGGCAATTTCAACCATCTTAAAATTACCTGATTGAGCCGTAATAACACGTTTGCTTCATCAATAGCAGAGATTTTCGGTTTCAGCACAAAACGATCCTTGATAATGGTGGGTAAATGTTGATATGTGCCCTAGAAACGCTACTCTGTAGTAAAGTCATGGAAGATATATTTTAGAAAAATGAAAGTGCGACGAAAAATAAAAAAGAGGAGTCTGGTCTGACAGACCTGAGTGAGTACATCAACAGCAGCGGTCACTTGGAAGGCGGGCAGACGTGCCATAACAAGCTCTTCGCGTGAGATCGTCACTAACCGATCCGCAGTTTCTACAAAGTACTGTGACTGCTGGTCGAGTAGGTAGCATATTGCCTAGAACACGCGTCACTCTATGCAATACATTAGGTGTAAAACAAAAAAAATGGATAACAGGTCAAAATTCGAACGATGTAGGGGATTTCCAAACAATTCAATGAAGGAAGTACCACTAACCGCGCAGGATTCGAACTTCTTTGACGATTTCACCCATTTGACGACAGCTAACAGCTTTACGAATAACATTCGCGTGGAGTGCGCGAACTGCACGAGACTGATCTTTCTGTCTCCATCCAACTTTTTTGGCAACCTAAAATTGCATTTTCACAACACAGCTCTGAATGCAACGCTATTCGCAGCCCATCGTGCAAGACTCGATATCGAATCACATCTTTCTACTTAAAGCAACAATCCAGGAACGAATTCGCGGGTAAGGACCACCTATAATGACGTTGCAGGTGAGAAGTTGGTCAATGGAGAAAGAAAAAGTAGAAAAAAACGGGCAGGGGGGCTTAGACAGGGACTGTGGGTTTAGGGAGACGTGTGTTGGACGTGTCCGTTTTTGAAGAAAAAGCTGGTGGATAGAAGCACAGAGCTTAGTTGAGTCGGCCGTAACCATTCCGTAGATATCACATGCTCCCAGTTTGTATTTTGACCTGCTGGCAGTATGCCAAGGGCTATTGTTGTTAAGTACAATTTACTAAGTTTGCAGCGAATATCGAAATGGAAGGCTTCAGTGAGTGAGTGGGTTGGCCAGTTTTATGGATCGGACCTGAATAGCTCAATAGGCGCAGCGCTGGGTGTACGCTCGGCAATCGATTTGCGGTTCGAGTCGTATATATTGCGTTTCTTTTAAGACTTTCCTGCAGATTGTAATGTGATCGTCGCTCATTTTAAGGGGATGATCTTGCTTCAAGAGGAGTCTTTCGACTCTTTTTCCGCAGCGTTGGTTTTCTCAGAGGTTAACGGGTATTTGAAACTTAAAATTAAGACCCACTTTCGGTGTAATATTTTTTATTTGTGTGGGGGGCATGTTTTTTGATGATTGCTGAAGTAGACCAACAGAGTCAGGTGAAACCCTGCTGTGGCGTGATTTTGTTTCTTTAGACTGAATGAATTTCGTATCCGATATCTCTAGCGACATGATATCATAGCAGTGAACCTCCAGTGCGTATAGTTTAATGGGAGAATTCCTACCATGTTTTCTTACTGCTTTTGAATTTGTAATTAACTTATTCGGAACACATGAACGATGATCGCAGCAAGAAACTCGGTGTTGTTTGTGGGTTATGATTGTTTTCTTCGATAGGGAGTTATCTTTGATACGTTTTTGAAAGAATTGATCTTGTATAGGTTACTCTTCGTTATATAGAGAGTTCGTTTCAATAAAAGGTATGCCGATGTGTGATATAGTAGATACTTTAATATTATCGTCCCGAAGCCTAAGGGAGCCGATTCTATGGTTCATCATGCTATACTAAGCGTAATTTATGACCTACTATGATATGGAATCAGTTTCTTAGGACTTGAGTCGATTTGTAGATGATAACTGTGAGGCACGATTGTTTATGAAGGTGAAAAAAACAGCCGTGAGTTTATATTCGCTATAGGGCGTAATGAAGTGGCCGATTCGTGTCAAGAAAGTTTGAATGATCACATTCCTGTTTTATTTAATATTTCTTAGTAAACCCTCTACTATTCGATGAAAAATTACAAATATAGGGTAAAGGCATAAGATCGAATCCACTATCTTAGCTCGCTCCAATATGTGGCGAAAGAAAAGTAACATGTGGTGCATTAGTTCATGCCGCCCACTGCATCCCAAAGATAAGGGTGCGAAAAAAAACCCTCGCACCCTCGCAACTTTCTTTTTATCTGGCGAATTGGGTTATTGTAGCAGTACTGAATTACGATCGAAGTCCGTTCCATTTATAAGTTAGGCCGAAACTTAACACACCGACGACAGCGTGACGCGGCATGCACGTCAGATTTACTCACGGACGACACCTGTTTGCTCCTTTATTTTTCATTACCTAAGCGTTCTGCCTGAATGATCACGTTTCACAAAGTAGTTTTCCATTACTAGTAACGGAATTGTTGGAGGGGTAATGATGGTTTTCAAAAAATACACAAAAAGGTGCCAAGACACACAACGAGCTGTCGTCAAAGCGTTAAATAAACATGGAGGGTCAAAAAAACAATAGCTAGGCCTTATGGGCCTTCGCAGAAAACCCCAACATACAGCCTTAACAGTATTAACAAAAAAGAAGATTCCGCAACATGTAAAACAACTGATCAAAAACTCACAATTCAGAAAGCACAGTGATTCATTGATAAATTGCGGATGGCAAAGTCGAGCAAATAGTTCAACTGATGTGGGTGGTCCACACTTGTCGGGCACCACGGGTAGTGCCGGTTTACTGTGATCCCCATCGTCCATCGGGACAATGAGGAACTTCTATAAAGCAACAGTTTACACTTTAAATACTCGCTCACTCACAGGCACAACAACGAGAACCAATTCAAAGGCTGATGTACATCGCGAGAGCATTCGAAAAAGAGAAAATGAAAGGAATTAGCAATGTAGAGAAAAAGCGAGGAGTATCGCAGATATGTACAAGAGATAGATCGTTAAAGGTCTCCGAGAAAATTGATGAACTCTGCCAACTTAATGCCAATGATACTTCCCAACTACTTTTAAAAAGAAACCACGATCCCTTCAGCAAATATTCTCTTTCAGATGAACGCAGCCGCAAAACGTAAATCGCTTCCGTCCGTTTTTTCTTTGTTGCAAAAACTCGTCCACCTTTGATGCCGCGCGGCGCAACGGCCATGGAGCGCGGAAACTTTGTCGTAAAAATCTATTGTATTAGCTCTTTTCTTTAGGTGAACCAACAATGAAAACCCCCTACAGGGAGTCGTTGTTGCCTCTCTGGGAGAAGCTCGTACAGGGATGAAATGTTTGGAAAGACAGTATTTCGGACGAGGGAGGGTTTAGGGTGTAACATAGTTGGGGGGGGGGGGCGGTGAGCAAGCGGCGGCGAGCGCAGTCCGTCAACCTGGGCTCTTCGAGCGAGACAGGTTTGTAATCGAATTTCCAGCTTTGTGCACGCAGTCAGTGATGCCCCACCCTCTGACCCTAGGCTGGTACACTCACTGGCCACGGATTTTCCACAGCCAGGCGAGAGACTGCGCCGCCGATCGTGCCCCCCCCCACTAGTTGAGGTTTGGTAAGTAAACGGATTTTTGATGAGATTTCTAAAGTTTTAGATTTCGGCATTTTTTGTGACTTTATTATTGTTAATTAGCGCTAGCGGTTTTGAGGAAAAATGTGGAGCTTTCACTTTATTGTTGTTTTAGTATACGTCATCTAGTCGGCCTCCGCGTCTATCCCCCACCACCGGTTTTATGGATACTTCATCTTTCTTCTATGTTCGTGCAGAAGAGCGAGAGACCGCCGGACGATCAGAGAACGGGCCTGAGAAGACCTATGGACTAAGCTTGGATGGGCGATGGACTCCAGGGTGGGTGAGCTAATTACAGTGTGACATAAATTTTGAATGTGTTAGATACGAAGTGATCATGAGCCTCCGATAAGGGTTACAAGGCTTCTGTCAACCAGGGGGTGAGAGTGTAGAAGGAAAAGCAGACGTTCTTTGTGGTAGTGGGACTAAGCCTTTTAAAGGAGGTAAAGAAAGCGGAGATTCTGTAATAGTGCGCTTGTGTGAGAGCTCCCAGACAGCACAACAAAACGCTGAATTGCTAGCCTCACGGTTGACAGATGTCCGGAGACCGGATAGTCGAGAGCAGCGAACATAAAGGCGAGTGAGAGCTTAAAGGACGAGTTCAGTGTCCGTCAACCCCCCCCCCCCACCAGCTAAGTAATCTGGTCCGGGAAAACATTGCCTCATCACCAGAAATTGTATACCTTAGCTTCTTGCCTCATTGAGTGGGCAAAAAGAACGAAATATAAACGTGTTTGTGGTTAGTAATGCCAACAGGCCAGCAGGCCATAGTAATTGGAAGATGTCCGCCGTTAAACTGCCACAAATTGTTGGAGCGCGGAGCAACAAGTACGTTTCGTTGGAGTTCATTCGTGACGAGTTCTAAACTTTCGATGTTAATTTTATTCCGTTTCAAAAAAGCGAGTAGAGTCGAAAGGACCAACCCACAAATTGACGACGGCTTTCCAATGCAAATGTTTCTGCCAGTGGAAATGATTAGCCTGTTGCAGTTGTATTCTATCAGTTGTCACTAATTACAACTATCATTTACCAAAATCAGCTATCACTATGAATCACTACTAACCAGATTTACTTTGAGGCCGTCGTCACTTGTGGTGTATGGTCTGCACCCGACGCTCTTCTCCTTTTTGGAAGGGAGGGTACACGTAGCTCCTCACCTACCATGCGCTTCGTCACAGAAGCACTTTCAGTTCAGCTCCCCTTGGGATATACCGTCAGCAGATGGGAAGGAACAACGTTTCCGTGGGTCATCCGTTAGTATTTTTACAGCTTTAGTAGTGCCTTCCAGCTCCAGCCTTCGAATAGAAATTCTCTTTTTTCCACCCATAGGTGTCCGAAGTTTCGTTTGTTTGCTTTCTGTCCGCCCATGACGAAGGACCAGTCCTGTGAAAAACGTTCCTAGACGTGCGTTTTCACGCGTCATCAACAAGTGGGACCAAACCCGTCGGAACTCTCGTGTAACGCTTTCTGGCTACAAATGTTGTCAACAATGTAGAAAAAGTAGCCCAAGAACAAACTGTGGACAAGTATAAAGAGCGACTTTGAACAAAAAATCACCAAAAGACGCGCCATGATTCCTTCAGTTGCGTGAGTCCCCTTTTCACTCTTTCATTTCGGATTCTTTTAAAATTCAATCTATGAGTTGTTATTTTCAGTGCCTCTCTCCTCTTGTTAATGCTCGGCTCATTCGTTAATGCTCAAAATTTCGGCAACTTTGGCCAATCATCGCTGATGGGTGCTGGCTCGTATCCAGGACTTGGATTCGGAGGGATGTCGAATTTGGGTCTGCTCGGTGGAGCAGGCACCTCGTTTCCCGCGTTTGGAATGGGATCTCTAGGAGGCTTCGGTCCTGGCGCCATGCCTTCATTCGGCGGTTTTGGAGCTGGCGGAATGGGCCTGGGACCTTATAGCATGATGGGATCGAACTTTGCCGGTTTTCGATGAGTGAGTTCCGCTATACATTTCTGAAAATGAATAGTGTTCACTGAGCCACACTTCTAAAAAAAAAGGACAAAAAAATAGGTACAACATAAGCTTATTTCCTCTTGAGGGTATATTACATGACTATTGTTAGCTGATGTGAGAGAGTAAGTTAAACGCTTGTCCATATGCTCGAATTTTGTGCCCATTCCGTGTTAAGAGCTTTAAGAGCCAATGCCAATGATCAGTCGAAATCAAGGCGACCCCTTGCTTGAAGAGCACTCTGTCTACCGTCTGCTTGAACTCTGTCCTTAAAATCGCCTCAAACTGATGCGCCCGACAGCCCACTCTTGCCCAAACGGTGGCTCATGACTGCTGTGACCTCGGACATTCAAACTTGTGCCACACCTTTACTGGTTCACACGCGGAGTTCCCCTCCCCTCCAAGGCGCAGTCTTATAGCTCTCACCTTCCTTCCTGGGATTTGGAGCAGAGCTGGCACCCCTACGACCTCCTTCCCTTGACCTCCTTCCCTCCTCTCCAATGGTCGATGGGTCCACAGTTCCGCAAGTCTGCTTCCACGTACCCGTTCCAACTCCGTTCCCAAGACTCTTCAAAACTGCCGTTTAGCAGGAGCAGAAGGAGAAGCAGTAAAGTCTACACCATTCGTGCAGTTCAGCACCCTTTCTGAAAAGCTTAAAAATCTCCTCAAACAAAAAAAAACGATCCACTTCCCCACAAATCGATTCTGTTTCTATTACCACGTCTACCTCTAAAACCTCAATTGCGATCCCCACTCAGAAATAACCATTGATACCCTCTGTTGCAAATTGTCCACCGGATTGTTGTCCTCGTTAGGAACTTTCTCGCTCCATCCACTCCACCCCTCGCCTGAGACCACACTATCTTGCAAGTGACTTCACTGGTAGAGTCTCAAAATTCACTACAAAAAGGGAGGTCTCAATGAGAGCTTTTTGGAGCCTTCATTTGCCTGCTTCATTAGTGGTGAGCCACACGGCCGTTGAAGCTTCACTGTTGAAACCTATTGGCAGCATCCAGTAGATGTTGGATGTGTCTTCAAACTTCAGTCCGTGGGAATCTTCTCATTCTATAGATTACCACAATTAAGGACTGATATCTCTAAATTATGAAGAAAAAACAATATTTCATCAAACATACAACATTCGGCATTGAGCACAGCTTTCTGAAACGCGCCGTACACTCTACATCCATTCATAATTATGAAGGCTTCAAACCCTTTTTCGCCACCATAATGAATTGTGGGACCAAACCATGGGCAAATCAGCGGTTCGCCCTCCCAGATGAATCTGATATAAATTTGCCAACCCCACAGGCAGGTAGTTTATAACAAACCTATGCAAGCGGTTTGCGATCTAAAATAGTATTGTCATTTGTCATTTGTCTAAGCTCGTTTCCTCCCAATACCTGCGAGATTATTTGGAAAGACGTCTTTCCCTTTGTCAGCGGACGTTAGTAGTTGTAATATGGGAATGACGTAGCAGTAAGAGGTGTCAAGCACGCGCAGTAGCAAGCGACGTTTGCAAGGCCGATGTCATGGTTTGCGAATCGGTCGATACGCTGGTGCAAAGTTCGATTCGCTGGTGCAACGTTGTATTCGCTGGCGCAGCGCTCGGATCCAGCGATTCGCTAGCGAATCGATCGATTCGC